GGCATGGAGGAGATTCCCTGGCAGTGCCCCCGGTGCCTGGCACAGCAGGGACAGGATCCTCTGTCCCCAATCTCCCTGCTGGCTGCTCATGGCTCAGGAACGCTCCCTGCAGCTCCTCAGGAACAGCCGGGAACTTGGGGCTCTCAGAGCCCTTCACCTCCACTCCGTGTTCCTCCAGAGTTCCATGGCCTGGTTCTGTTCTGTGTCCCTGTACCATTCCATGGCCTGGTTCTCCTTTATGTCCCTGCACCATTCCATGGCCTGGTTCTGCTCCGTGTCCCTCCAGAGTTCCATGGCCTGGTTCTGTTCTGTGTCCCTGTACCATTCCATGGCCTGGCTCTGCTCTGTGTTCCCTCAGCATTCCATGGCCTGGTTCTTCTCCATGTCCCTGCAGGATTCCATGGCCTGGTTCTGTTCTGTGTCCCTCCACCATTCCATGGCCTGGTTCTTCTCCATGTCCCTGCAGGATTCCATGGCCTGGCTCTTCTCCATGTTCCTCCATCATTCCATGGCCTGGCTCTGCTCTGTGTTCCTCCGCCATTCCATGGTCTGGTTCTCCTTCATGATCCCTTACCATTCCATGGCCTGGTTCTCCTCCATGTTCCCTCAGTGTTCCATGGCCTGGCTTTGCTCTGTGTCCCTCCACCATTCCATGGCCTGGTTCTGCTCTGTGTCCCTGCACCATTCCATGGCCTGGTTCTCCTCCTTGTCCAAACAGGATTCCATGGCCTGGTTCTTCTCCATGATCCCTCACCATTCCCTGCCCTGGCTCTCCTCCATATTCCTCCACCATTCCATGGCCTGGTTCCCCTCCATGTTTCCTCACCATTCCCTGGCCTGGTTCTCCTCCATGTCCCCCTACCATTCCATGCCCTGGTTCTCCTCCACATCCCCCCATCATTCCATGCCCTGGTTCTCCTCCATGTCCCTCCACCATCCCCTGGCCTGGCTCAGGATTCTCTGCACCAGACACATCCTGAGCTCCTGACTCTTTGGAAAGGTCTTTCCTCAATCCAGCAGAGAAATGATCTGCCAAACAGAGCTCAGGCACCTCCTCTCCCTTCTCCTGCTTCTCCAGAGCYCCTGCCTCACTCCAAAGCACTTTCACCTTCTCCTCCCACATGCCCCTCTCACTTTTCTCCGAGATTTTGGTCAGGGTTGTTCTATAGGAGGAGTTTCCTGAGGATGAGGATCCCTCCTGCCCTGGACACTGCTCTGGAAGCTCCAAAGCAGCAGCAGGGCTGTCCCTGCCAAGGGAGGGATGTCCATTATCCCCAGCCATGCTCCAGGGCTGTTTGTGATGGGAAGATCCCCATTCCAGCCCATTTTCCAGCCTTTCCTCTGCACTGGGGTTTGCTGGATCCCCCCTGRTTTGCTCAGTGTCACCATCCCTGTCCCCATGTCCCTCCTGGCTCCCCAGGAGCTCTCCAGAGCAGCTTTGGGGWGCAGCTCSGGGTGGATGGGAATGTTGGGGTGAYGTGCAGAGTTCACAGGGAYGGGCTGGATCCCRCAGGGATGGGGCTTCAGGGATGTGCCAAGGMTCCAGGAAAGCTCCAGAAACATCCGGGATTCCTCTGGAACAGGAGACAAAAGGGAATTTCTGATCATCTTTTATTTCAACAGCTCTGCTTTAAATCAGAGGCAAAAGAGCTTCAGGTAATGACTGGGTAATAACAGCAACATTCACATAAATACCCATAAATACCCATAGATA